TTCAGCTCAAGGCTAGCGCTCTACCACTTGAGCTACAGCACCACTTCCAGCTTTTTCTGCTTATGTGGTGCTAAGGAATTGAACCTAGGGCCTCATGCATGTGAGGCAAGCGCTCTACCACTAAGTCACCTTCCCAGTCCCCTTTTTTTTCACTTCTTGATTGACAGTTGAGTTCATTCCAGTTTGGAGCAAATATGAATAAAGCTGCTGTTAACATTCATGCACAAGTTTTTTGTGGGCATTTTACTTATTTTGAAAACCATCTAAGAATGAAATTGCTAGGTTTGAGGATGAATGGATGTTTATAAGCAGTTGAGGAGACATTGGTAGGTTGATCAAGGAAAAAGAAATCCCACTGGGAAGAGTAGAAGACTGGAAACCAATCTCTTCCACTTTTCATCTTCTTCAAGTACAGAGGGGTGGGAGACAAGTAGGGATAGGAGGCAAGGAAGTCAAGTGTTTATAGAATAGAAACTCTGGAAGAAGAATTTGCCCTCCTGGCATGTAATTGTATATTCTTATAGCAGTTTGTAAAGTTTATTTCTCTGGCATGCAATTGTACATTCTTTCAGTAGTTTCTAAAATATTTTATTTCTGTAATTTCTTTTAATCTTCATGGCAGGGCTATGGTATAGGCAAAGCACATATTATAGTATTCCCTTTTAGAATTTAGAAAAACAAGGTCCCGCAGCAAGTTATTGTCTTAACTGGGACTCAAATCCAGTTTCAAATAAGAAGTTTCTTGGCCTTGTCTGTGACCTAGTTCAAATACCTACTAATATAGAACCTTGGACAAATTACTTAACCTCTGAGGATCTGTTTTCCCAATTGCACAGTGAATATAATACTAGCTCCTGTCTCAAATTTTGAGAGACAGAGAAGAGCTATCAGCTTCATGGCAAACGACACACAGTAGGAGTATGAGAGTTATTAGTAGGGTCTGAATCTAAGGTAGATAAGTGGTCTTGGCTAAAGAAAATATTAGTGTTGAAGATCAGGAATATAAAATAGATCATGTCTGTGGTGGGGGGACTAGGAAAGGGCGGATGTGGTGAAAACACTGGGTGTTGTTGAGATTGGTGTGGGAAAGGAGGATGAGGGATGAGAGAGACTGATGGAAGGAGGGAATCTGATCCAGCTATGTTGTGTGCATATAGGAGCATGGCAAAGTGAAACCTCCTTGCACAAGTAATTGACGGTAATTAAAATATTAATCTTGGCCAGGCTCCTGTGACTCATAGCTATAATCCTAGCTACTTGAGAGGCTGAGGGGTTGAGGTTCAGAGCCAGCCTGGGCAGAGGCAAATCCTCAAGACTCTTATCTCCAATTAATCAGCAAAAAGCTGCAACTGAAGTCATGGCTCAAGTGGAAGAGTACCAGCTATGAGCAAAAAAAGCTAAGTGATAAAGAGGCTCTGAATTCAAGTTCTGGCACCAGCACCTAGATAGAGCGTTACGTAGGTAGGTAGGTAGATAGATAGATAGATAGATAGATAGATAGATAGATAGATAGATAGATAGATAGATAGATAGATAGATAGAATAGTTGTTTTAAAAGCCATTTTAATCTATAAACTGCTGTAGACATGTACACTTACTGTACACTTACTACATGTCACTGTTGAACGTGTGGCCACATTCCTGCCTCTTCTTTCTTTTCATTCTTCACTGACCCAGTACAAGGAATCTTACCCATCCACCTCTTAGAAGGAACCTGGATCCCAAGGATTTACAGTATTTATTAATTAAGAGGTCACTGATGGGAAATTGGATCTTGGCATTAGACTGTATATGTAAGAGCCAAGCTGCAGTCTGTAGCACTTGCCCAAAGGCCTTCTGAGAGGTATGGTGATGAGTTAGCTGTGCTTTCTTCTACAGACTGATGACAGCAATGGTGACTTGGACCCAGGAGTCTTGCTGACAGCTCAGACCATCACATCTGAGACCACAAGCAGTACCACCACAACTCAGATTACCAAGGTAACAGAGCTTCTTTAAGGAACTCAGTGACATAAAGAGCTTGCAACCACCCCTGGGAAGGAAGCACTTCCATCCAAAAGCAGAGTTTTTCTCTTGTAATCTTAGCTACTCAGAAGTCTGAGTATTTCAATACGAAGCCAGACCACGGAGGAAAGTCTGGTCCTGTTGCTTGAACTGGGCCTAGGCACTGTCTCTGAGCTTTTTCTGTTCAAGGCTAGCATTCTACCACTTCAACTACAGTTCTACTTCCAGTTCTTTTGGTAGTTTTTAGTGGAGAGAAGAGTCTCATGGCCTTTCCTGCCCAGGCTGACTTCAAACTGCAATCCTCAGATCTCATGAGCTACCTATGCATGGCTTCCATGATACTCAGGAGACTGAGAACTGAGGAATCATGGTTTGAAGCCAATTGGGAAAAAAAAAAATCTGTGATATTTTTATCTACAGTTAACCAGCAAAAAGCCAAAATTAGGGCTATAGCTCAAGTGGTAGCTTGAGGGAAAAAGCTGAGGATCGTCAGCCAAAGCCAGGTCCAGGCCATGCAGAAAAGTCTGTGAGACTCTTTTCTCCAATTAACCAGCAAAAAGCTAGAAGTGGAGCTGTGGTTTAAGTGGTAGAATATCAGCTTTGAGCAGAAAAGCCAAGCAAGAGCTCAAGGCTCTGTGTTCAAGTCCCAGTACCATCATACATACAAATGAAAAGTAAATTCAAGTCTAGCCTGGGCAACTTAGATCCTTTCTCAAAGAAGTTTAAAATAGCTGAAGATATATTTCTGTGGTAAAGTACTTGCTTGCCTACACAAGTCTATAGATCAGACCTCAGCAACAAACCCATTTCCCCCCAAAAATATTTGGAGTATAGCTTTCAGAATAATTAGTAGTAGAAGTATAGCTTAGTTGTAGAATGATTGCATAGCATGCAACAGGCCCTGGGGGGAGTCTTCAAAAATAATTTTTTGTGTGCAGTACTGCAGTTTGAATTCAGGACCTGGACAACACTGTCCCAAAGGGTTTTTTTTGTTGTTGTTGGTGGTGGTGGTTTTTGCTCAAGACTAGTGCTTTACCACTTGAGCCACAGATATACTTCTAGCTTTTTGGTTGCTAGTTGACGATAAGAGTCTCATAGACATTTCTACTGAGCTGACTTTGAACCATGATCCGTAGGTCTCAGCCTCCTGAGTAGCTAAGACTGTAGTCATAAGCCACTGGTGCCCAGCTGTAAAAATTATTTTTAAAAATCAACTGTACATAATAATCTGTGTTTGTTGTTTTGGTGTATTTTTATTGTGAAAAATACTGTACTGAGGAGTTACAATTACATGGGCAAGATAATGAGTACATTTCTTATCAAGCATTGTAGCCTCCTCCTTTGTTTCCCATCCTCCCCTCGCCCCCCCACCCAATCCTCCCTGTGGGCCCCCCCCCCATTTTGGTGTTTTTCTCTTGCTATATTTCCGATCTCATATGGCCACCTACTTTTGGTTACAGACCGTAAAAGGTGGGATTTCAGAGACCCGGATTGAAAAGAGAATTGTGATCACAGGAGATGGCGATATTGACCATGACCAGGTAGGAATGCTGAGGAAGTCAGGATGGGAGGGTGGAAGATTGATGGGTGCAGTGATGTCACATCCCAAAAGATACTGCTGACTGCTTCATCGCTGCTACTCTAGCCCTTGAAACAAAGAGACTCAAGCCCCGTAGACCTGGGGGTGGGGGAGAGGCTCTGCAGATGGGGAAGCTAGGAGTGCAGTGAAAAGAGCAGGGGCTTCGGACTCAAAGATCTGAGGTCAAATACTAGTTCTTATCTCAATGAAGACACTATAAACTGGGGGTTATAGTTGGTGTCCTCCTCTCGATTACTGTTCAGATCCTGAGATAACTGGATGTGTACTGAGTGACAGGCACGTGGTAGGATCTGAATAGAAGGAGCAATAGTACCCTTGCCAGAGGCTAGATGATACCAGAGAACTAGGGAGTGCTGTTGAGACTGTGGGCTGGGGAAGGGGGGTCGCACACAGGATGGTGGCCAGGATGGTGGCCAGGACACCGCCCAGCCCCTGTCCTCAGACTTGTTCGCTTTCATCTAACTTCCTGTGCTACCTTAGGCAAATCACCTCATCTCTGGTAGTTTCTTCTCCTGAAAGAGAGTGGATGAATCCAAATAATTCCTGGGCCCTTCTGGGTACTAAAAGTTCTATATTTTTATGATAATTGGGTGCTAATTGTGTGCTACAAGCAATTATCAAATAATAAGGTCAGGATTACTGTTCCCTATTCTCCGCTGGGCCGGTTAGACCAGCAAAGCTGCAGAGAAGAGGGGGTGGAGGAGACTATGCAAATGCCTCTGGAATCACTGACAGGACTGCCAGAGCTATAACTCTGGGCCTTTATGCTGATGAGCTGCCTGCCTGCAAGGAAGGAAAGCTGAGCTGCAGTGCTGGCAGTTCCCTTGGCAGCGGGCTGAGACTTAGAGCTGGGAGTACTGGGATTGGGGTCTCAGAAACAAGGATGCAGAGCCCAAGTGCGCGGCCCACAGTCTCCCAGCCTCCCTCAGGTATGGCCTGAGTCCATGCTGAGTGCTCAGTCCTCACTACACAGCAGAGCCGTGGATACGGACGCTTGTGGTTTACAGGGAGCCTCACCGGTGTGCCCCAGTAACTTCTGTGAGCCCTAGTTTCACCCTTGTCACGTAAATACCATCACAGGTTTTATCTGGAGTGATTTGTCCAAGAAGCATGGGGAGTAGTGCTCTCTGGTTGAGGAGAGCTGCACTTTAGGAAGACCTCCTAAGGAAAGCAGTGAGGTGCATGTGGGCCTTCCTAGAGAGGAAGAGGCAGAGGTGCCAGGGAGCGCCTGAGCTGGGTGAGAAGTGGGAGTAAATGGGTTAGAAAAACAGGCTCAGGGAGGAGGAGCAGGGATCTATAGGAGGCAAGTCCAAGAATACCTTTCATGAATCCGAGAGGACAGAAGAGTTTTCCTCTTCTCTTGACCCTCCTAGAGATGGTTTTCAGGATCCAAAGTGAGCAGGCAGCTGGAGAATTCTAGCCAGTCCTCTATTCTTGGGTGGGGGGAAGGAGACTGCAGGCAATGCTAACAGCTGGGCAAGTGGTACCACTGTCCTCCTTTGACCTTCTCCGTGTGATCTCAGCCTTCCTCCCATGCCCAAACTCCTCCAACACTCAACAGGCCCCCCCGGGAACCTACCAGACAGTGTAGTGAAGAGAAAAGTTATCTAATAGCTATGAGACAACAAGCACTTAATTAACCTGCAGTTTACTCATCTGTAAGTGGAAGGAGGGAAAACATGTTGTGAGGATTAAATAAATGATGAATGATATGCTTAGACCAGGGTGCGGCACATAGTAAGCCTTCACTGAACTTCTCAAGTCCCTGTCCAACTCCTTGAAGGAAAGCTCTACCCTTCCCTGCCTGTGTGTCATTGGCCCAGGAGCCTCATCTATGCAGGATGGTGGAGGGGCAGGGTAATGACCAGCTTCCTCTGGCCTAAGTGCAATGTACCCTGGTACATTGTCAGAAATGAGTAGTGCCTTCCTTCACTAGCCAGGCTGCTTTGTGCATAATGGGCTCTATTTCTTGTTCACAGGTCCTTGTACAAGCTATCAAGGAAGCAAAGGAGCAGCATCCGGACATGTCAGTGACCAAGGTGGTTGTCCATCAAGAGACTGAGATCTCTGAGGAATGAGCTCAGGTAGGAGATGCCTCAGCCTGAGCGAGTCACAGCTGGAACTTGAGGTACCACTAGGTGACAACATTGGGACTTGATAAAGTAAGGCAGAGAATATTAAGCATCTGGCTTCTTGAAGATGATAATAATCATAACTTTAAAATATCTGGTCTGAGCACTGGTGGCTCACACCTGTAATCCCAGCTACTCAGGAGTCTGAGATCTGAGGACTGAGGTTTGAAACCAGACTGGACAAATTCAAGAGCCTCTCATCTCCAATTAATCAACAAAAAGTCAGGGCTAGAATTTGTGGCTCAATGTCAGCCTTAAGTAAAAAAATTTCAAGACCCTGAGCACAGACACACACTCTTTCTCTCTCTCACACACACACACACACACACATATATATAGATACATATACACACAGTCTGAAGGCTGGAGCTGTAGTCAATTCATCTTGTATCTTCATAAAATCTAATACATATCTTTGTATTAATTTTTTAAAGTATTTGGCTCTAATCAAAACAGCCAGATCATTTGTGTCTTCCTGCCTTAATGTACCTGCAGTGAGGATATAAACCTCACCCACCTCTGGAATCTTCCTGTACTTCATTCACCTTTCCCTGCCCTCTCTCTGCTGCTGGGGTGATCTGTATCTCTGGAATCTCTGAGCCTGCAAGACCAAGGCTTCTAGAAGGGTGAGGACTGGGAAGGCTCTGGGAAAGTGGCTAAAGCGCTGGGACCAGACCAGAACATTGGAAGTAGAAAACTGCTTTGGGGCATCCAGGTAAATTCATGCCTAGACCTGAAGAGTCATCAGGAAGGACTGGCCCAGTATTCAGTTCTTTTTCTTTTTTGTCAGTCATGGGGCTTGAATTTAGGACCTGGGCACAGTCCCTGAGCTTTTTTTGCTCAAGACTAGTGCTCTGCTACTTTGAGCCACAGCTCCATTTCTGGTTTTCAGTTGGTTAATTGGAGATAAAGAGTCTCATGGGCTTTCCTGCCTGGGCTGGATCTGAACAGCAATCTGCAGATCTCAGCCTCCTGAGTAGCTAGGATTACAGACATCAGCCATGTGTCCAGCCCAGTATTCAGTTCTAATTGTCACTTATGGCCACCAAGAGTTGGCAGTAGCAGCAGGAAGCTGGCTTCTTTGCAAGATTTTAAAATGTGCTTTTTTTCTTTCCCCTAGGAACTATCCTACCCCAACTCCCTGCCTTCCCTATGCCCAAGACAAACCAGCGAAATGCTAAAGAAGCCAGCCTGCAAGTCAGACTCCAGACTTTCAAGATCATTCTAGACCACCAGAAAATTTACTTTGTTTTCTATTTGGAATTTATATCGAGATTCTTCTAGATATCATTGATCCTTTTCAAGATCTTTTTCTATATTGTGATACCAGAAATTGTTCCACTTTTCACTCTATGAACCATTTTTGAAGAGTTTTTTGGGTTTTTTTAATGGGATAATTTGTAACCCATTCAACCTAGGCTCTCCTCACTGATCCTCAACCCAGGTACTGAAAGGGTCTACAGATTTCAGGACATCCTTCAGAGACTCTGTCAACTATGTTGGAGGCCAAAGTCAATTCCCTGGGATGCCCCTCTTCCCCAAGTTTTACCCTTTGATGACAGCAGAGACTTCATGAACCAGTTCTTTCTCAAAGCCAACCATAAAATGTCACCAGCATGTTAAGCAGGGCAATTCCTCTGATCCACAGACCCCAGATAAATGTCTTCTCCCTTGGTGAGGGTGTCTGATGAGGCGGGCCTCTGCTGAGAATGTAGTGTTGGGTTTCCTTCCCTCTCTCCTTCTCTCTACTTTGGAGCTTCCTTAGGTAAGAGATGTAGGAAGTTGCTTCAAATGTATCTGATACTGTGAATGTTCGAACAAGTATCTGTGGCCTTCACTTCCCCCCGCCCTCACACCTTACCAGAAGCCATGGTTTTGCCCAGTACCCCAAGCTCCTCGCCAAGGAGACTAAAACACATGGAAAAACAGACCTTTTTTTTTAGCTATGTTCTAGTGGAACATTTTCAGTGGTGGTTTGGCAAAGGAAAGTTAATGAGGTTTTTTAAATAAAGTCTAGTTCTGGGAGTGTGCACCTCACTCGAAGGAGCGGTGGCATTTACTTCAGCTCCAGCTAAGGAGCACTTCCACCAAGGAGCACTCAGAGAGTCATGGTCTTTGACCTTCCTGCTCTCTACAAGCACCTGCCTAAGGAGACTCTTCAGTAAGCAAAGTATTGGCTTTTGGTGGCCACTCCCACAGGACACCACGAGACGGGGGTACAAAGCCCCCTACTCATTCCCATTCACTGCCTGAGGTCTATCAAATTATGTAGGCTTGCTTTCCTAGAAGGCTTCCAATTTAGTTTTTATTATTATTTTCTCTCTCTCTGGCTTCATTTTGAAAATGAGGTCTGGTGCCCCTGATTCCTACTAAGGATTTGGGAGCATTAAAAAAAAAAAGTCAAACAGGCTTCTCTAGTCCAGCTTGCTTCCTCCCCCAAACAGACCTGCCTGGAAGCATCTTGGAATCCAGATTCTAGGCTAGAAAGGAGCATCATGAGATTAGACAGTGTGTCAGTGACAGCAGTCACTTGGGGGCCCAAGGGCAGTGAATAAGAGAAGTCAGTAGCCAGGGGCAGGACACCACAGCCCTTACTAATTGACTTCTGTTTAGGTGAACTGAGCGATTTGATTTTTTTGTGTATTTTCCTTTTCGTTCTCACGTGGACTGTGACTGCCCACACGAAGCTCTCTAAGGCGGGGCGGGGGGGGGGGACATGGTGGGACATGTGACAGACATGAGGGAAGGAGGCTGTCCTCTCTCAGGAATGAACGTACAGGCTGTGGTGGAGCTTGAAGTGGTGGCACGTTAGAACTCCCCCTCTTATCAGTCAAGCTTAGCTGACTTTGCCGGCTTCTCCAAGGCCAGACCTTCTGTGGAAGGAGCATTTCCTTCCCAGCTCATAGAGCTGAAATCTGGGATAGAGAAGATGGGGGGGGGAAGACAGGGGTCCACTATCCCAAATATGGTGCATGATCCAGCTCAGTGCAGCAGTTCTAACAGCACAGGACCTCCACCTCAGATCTGAGGGCTTGAACTTTCCTCCGCTCACTCCTCCTCTCTGCAGCCTTTGTCTCTGGACCCAAAGAACTCTAGCATCCTTCCAGGCCTCTTCCCCCTTCCCTGGCAACAGATCTCAAGGTTTGGCAATTGTTTGGATTTTTTTCACTCTGCAGTTTGTGTGTGTGTGTGTGTGTGTATGCGTGTATGAACCAACTCTATCCAGGTAGAAATGGTGAAGGGGGAGGGGAGTAAGATTTCCAGGGTCAGAAGCCTGGCAACAGTTTTCCTAAAGTGACTCAGACACACCACAGTAACAAATCTCGCTGCAATTTTATTTTTACTTCAGAAGTAAAGGTTTCCTTCAAACTTCATGAGATCTCTGCCACCTACCCACAAAGCAAGACCTGTCCTCATAAGCCCAGGGAGCCTACCTGCAGGGCCCTGTCAGAACACCTGCTCCACCCCCTCCCAGGCCAGCGTTGTGTATTCCTGGGGGGGCTGAGGAGACCACCTTGGGAAGTGGAGCCCACCATCCTTGACACTCACACGAACTCTGTTCAGGATGCCAGGTGCAGGCTACCTGTTTTTACAAATCTCTCTCAAATGTATTATTTTGGTGACAAAAATGAAGGAGCTTTGTAAATTTTTTTAAAAAATTATGAATCATATATCAAGTAGTTGTTTACATTTCTTGACAAAATAGAACTATGGCAGCAGAATTACATTGGCAAAAACCCTTAGATTAAATAGGCAATAATTAGGTCTGCTGTTTCGGCCTTTTGTAGTGAGGGGAGTGGTTGTAGTGTTGAGATCTGTGTTTGGTCTTGCTTCTTGTATTGCATTTTTCAATAAACTTCAAAAAAAATGCCTATGAGGACTGATCCACTTTTCCATTTCTCTTCCTTCAGTAGCATGGGGAAAATTAAACCTGCGTGGGAGAGACTTAAACTGAAGCCATAGTCTGAGCTACCCACACTGGCCAAAGTACAGCATCAGGATTGTAGAAGGGGCCTTGTAAGAACTGGTCAGTGCTGTCTGTCAAAACGGGAGGGTGCTGTTGTAGCATAGGCTACCGTGAAGGAAAGGCCAGACCTCAGGGCAAGGCAGTGGCAGTAATGACCCTACTGGGTTAGAGCCCCCCAGGGCCAAGGGAAGAAAGAGTCTTAGGTGGTGGGAGTCAAAGGCTCACTCCCCACCCCAGATGGCAGTGGGAGTTTCTCAGCTTCACACCATCTTCCCAGAGGCCCAGATTCCATCACCAGTGCAGATGAAACCTCCCAACCTACCTTCCAAGTCTTAAGGGTCCTTGCCCCCCACTTAAACAAACCCCATGCATCTCCTGATCACCTTGGCCTGGACCTCCACCCCCCTCAGGTACCTGTCCGGGGCTAAGGCCACAGGTAGAGGCAGAAGACAATCCTGAGGCCGAGTCATGCTGGTCTCCGCACTGCACATTAAAACACGCCTGGCCCGCTCATTGAGCCCAGTGCAGCCGGCATTTCTCTGCCCACATATGGGTCAGGAGGCCTTAGTGGCTGCGGGAGTCAAGAGCATCCATCCTGACCTGGGATGTGACAGAAGCAGCTACTACTAGACATTGGACCACCGGTCCTCCGGTCCTGTTAACCACGGCCCATGGTGCTGCCTCATAGCAGGTGTTTGCCTGCTTCTCAGACCCGGGCCCCCAAGTCTCCTCCTCCCAATTTGGCATACCCCCCCAGGCTGAGGCGGTCCAGCCGTGGCCAGCTTCGGTGAGCACAGTCCCGAGCGGCTGGGGCCCCCAGGAGGAGCTCCCCAAGTCCCAGATCCAGAGACTTGGAATGTTCAATACAGGAACCAGAGGGCTGCACTGTGATGATCACGTGGCCAGGCTGGGTTCGGGGACCCCACGGTGGGGGCAGCCCCGGGCCCTTCAGCGGGTAGCTGTTGAGCAGGGCAGGTAACCCCAAGCGAGGATTAGCAGGCTCTGAACGCAGACTCCGCACTGACGGGACGGGCGAGGTGCCCCGATGCGGGGACAGGTCCCAACTTTCTGGCTCTGCGCAGCCCAGGGCTCCGGCAGTCCTGGGCCCGGGGCTGGGGAGGAGGGCACAGTCCCGGCCCGGGCCGTCGGGGGGCCGCAGGGCCTGCGCCCGCAGCACCCCCTGGCGGAGCCGCCTGGTCTCCAGGTCTCGGTTCTCATACAGAAGCGTGTTGGCGCAGATGAACACGAACAGGCCGACGCCCATAATCACCGGCCCCAGCAGCCGCAGCCGCTCGT